AATGCCTTATTTATTATCATACATTCCTTATATTATGATCCCAGGTCTCATTCTAGCTGACCACGTCATGAACACACTCTTGTTACCTATCTTTAACCTCGTTATACTCATAGTCTAATGTCTATTATATTATATTTATGATTATATTAGTCTCTCTCATCCGTAATTCATAATATCTTTATTATATATTATCCTAGGCAAATATTATATATAAAGTTATTAACCTACCACGAAATAACCTTTTCAAGAGGCACCAAAAATGGTAACAGTATGAGGATTTTAATTAATTCATTATGATATAAATAAGTAAAGGCTACTACATCAATTTTAAACAACTGTTTTCGTGAATCTGTGTTCTCAAATTTGGTCAAATCCTCTAGTGAATCAGCAGTTTTGAATTGGACTTCATTATTATCTATAATACATTCTGAGAGAGCGGACGAAGTCTTATTAGCCATATTAATATTAGATAATTTAATAAGTAAATACTGAAAGCTAAGTATAATTTGTTTTTATATAGTATATTTCTGCGACTAACAAAACCAATTTCAGATATTATGAAAGCTAATTTTAGATTTGATAATTATTAATTATTTCAGCATGGAATCACTCAATATTTACAGAAAATCATAGATGGTTTCAGCCTTTTTTCTCATATATTCAAAAAAAGATTATATAGTTATCCTGCATATATAAATAGCACAATCATCTGGCTTCAAGCAAAAATTACGAGAAGATAGAGACAAAGATTATCATTAATTTCACAAAACAGCAATGAATTAGCTTAGTCTCTTGTGATAATTCATATCTCGTAATGATAATCCCAAATGAAAATACCTCTTACTACCATACATAAAATCAATTATTGGAAATAAGATCACATGCCTAAAAAATTGATTGCATAATACAGATTAAGATGTTCGTAAATATCATTACTTCGTATTATATATATTACAGAATAAAATTGAAGATCATAGAACTTTCATGCATGATATAATCATGTAACCTGCAATTGATTGTATAATATAACAGATGTTTGATTAACATATCACATACTACTGTAAACCACTGACCAAAAGCCCTGGGGTACTTAACATTTTCACCCTATTTAGTAGGGTACTTTACATAGGAGGGTATATTAGTCAAAAGGGAGATACAACTGTATATAGTATCTAGGTATTACACTTAGGTATTATATATTTTAGGAATACTTATAAATTATAAATTTTTAATTGCATATACGTAAAAAAATATGCTTTTTCATCAAAAAATGGTTCATGTAAATAAATCATGCAAAAGAGCAAGAGTAAGATCTACTCAAAAATTGTATTGATCTTGGTGTGCCAGAGAAAAGCTAATAGTTTTTCATTATCTTCAACACTATAAAAGTATCTGTAGAATAGCAAAAAAGTTTGGTATTGAACCCAAACAAGTACACAACTAGAAAAATAAGATATAAGAATTAAGATCTGTAATACCTCATATTGTTACCTTTTTGGTGCGAGTTCTGAGATGAGGGCAAGTATTAAATCTAATATTACAAAAACACGTGATAAAAGTGACCACGTATTTAAAATAATATTTGGAAGAGTCTTTAAAAGATTTATTGACAAGAATATATCTACTATTATTTTAAAGTTAATCTAAAGGTAGGT